ACAGGCAGGGATTGAAGCGCTCCGTTGTTTTTTGGCAGGCCATCACGAACCCCGGCTGGAACCCCAACACCTTCAACAATGACATCACCCTGCTGAGGCTCTCCTCCCCCGCCCAGCTGGGACCCCGCGTGTCCCCCGTCTGCCTGGCCCCCGCCAACCTCAACCTGCCCAACAACCTCCAGTGCGTCACCACCGGCTGGGGACGTGTCAACCCCAACTGTACGTACGCTGAGGAGGGCTCTGTGTGCCGTGGCCAGCCACCCAGGGTGGCTCTGTGGGGATCCTGGGGCACCCGAGGGGGTAGCACCTCCTGTGCACAAGGGGAAGGGCGAGGCGAGTGGTCGAGTGACCCTGGATGGACACGTAAGCACATGCTGGTGCCCAGCAGGGGTGTTGGAGTGTGCCTGAACTCTAGGAGGGACTGTGCCCAGGTACAAGGTTGTCTTCACTTGGGCTTACCCCAGTCCATTGGCACAGAGCAGGAAGGTACTTTCCATAGCAGCACCCACATATTTGGGGGCACCCCTAGGAGCTTGCCCAGGGTGCCCGTGCGCTCCCAAATGGCCCAGGAGATGCGCAGACACTGGAGCACACCGGGCTGTATCAGAACTGTGGCCAGCAGATGGAGAGGGGATTCCGCCCCTCTACTCTGCTCTGGTGAGACCTCCCTGGAGTGCTGTGTCCACCTCTGGAGAAGTCAGCACATGGAGGACATGGACCTGTTAGAAAGGGTCCAGAGGATGGCTACAAAAATGACCTGAAGGCTGGAGCACCTCTCCTACGAGGCCAGGCTGAGAGAGCTGGGGTTGGTCAGTCTGGAGAAGAGAAGGCTCTGGGGAGACCTTTTTGCAGCCTTCCTTCCCCACAGGAAAGCTGGGGAAGGACTGTTTACAAGGGCTTCTTGTGACAGGATGAGGAGCAATGGTTTTAGACTAGAGCAGGGGAGACTTAGATTAGACATTAGGAGGAAGTTCTTCACTACAAGGGTGGTGAAGGCCCCATTTCTGGAAACATTCCAGGTCAGGTTTGACGTGATTCTGAGCAACCTGCTCTAGTTGCAGATGCCCCTGCTCAGTGCAGGAGGGTTGGACTAGACGACCTATTGAGGTCCCTTCCAACTGAAAGCATTCCATGATTCTATGACAGTGTTTCTTTCCCACAGCCCAAGCCTTGGCAACGTACCTGCAGCAGGTGACCCTGCCTGTGATCTCCCCGAGCCAGTGCATGCAGTACTGGGGCAACCGCATCACCAACGCCATGGTCTGTGCTGGCGGCGTCGGAGCCTCCTCCTGCCAGGTATGGAGCCGAGTGCCCACTGCCCCACAGGGAGGCTGGACGAGGAGGAGGAGGAGGATGACACATGGGGGTCTTACATCTGCGGAGCTGGAGATCTAACCTCCAGCACCCATCCGTGTCCAGGAGACCCGGTAGCCAGGGTGGCAGGGACCCGTTTGGAGCCCGTGCCAGGACCACCGAGCATGAGACATGTTCTCCACAGGGTGACTCTGGCGGACCTCTGGTATTCCGGAACGGGAACACCTGGACCCTGATCGGCATCGTCTCCTTCGGAACCACCGACTGCAACGTCCGCACGCCGGCTGTCTACACCCGCGTCAGCTACTTCCGAAACTGGATCGACTCCATGGTCGCTCAGGGTTAGAGCCTGTGCCGGGGGGACCCCGTCGCTGGGCACTGCTCCCAGCACGGTCAGCTCGGCAGAGGAGCTGGGACTGAGGCGCCCACCTCGGAATAAAGCGTCACCTTTGGCTCCTGCAAATGCTGCCTTGGGCTCCTTTCCTCTCGCCACGCAGCCTGGGGTGGAAGGTGCGCTGGGGAGCCTCAGCACCCTGTGGCTGGGTGCTCCTCTCCTGTAGCCCATCAGCTCCCAGAGCTGGAGCTTGATGCCCAGATGGGAGGAGGTGTGGAAGGCAGGACAGATGCACGGGCACAGGGGGAGCAGGGCTGGCTGCAGCTTAGGGGGTCTTCAAGCACAGTGATCTCCACCAGCCCAGAGACCACCATATCACAGGATGGGTGATGTTGCCTGAGGAGGCCTTGCCACCAGCCCGGGTGTGAGGTCTCCAGCACCAGCTCCCCCAGGAAAGGGATGGTGGAGCTCGCTGGGTTCTACATGAGCAAGCGCTTCTTGTTTGCAATGGAGGGATGGGTGCTGGTGGGCACACAGCTCTTAGAAGATCCCTGCTCCCAATCTAAAGCTGTAACTTTGGTGAGAGCCGGGGAACACGGAGCTGAAAGGCAAAAAACCAACAGCAGCTTCAGCTCTTTGGGAAGGTGGAGAGGGGTGGCCAGAAAACAGGACCCTGCCTCACACACACAGATCTGCCAGGTAACAGAGCGGGAAGCTCAAGGCCACCCCAAAGGAAAACCTGGAGCTGCAAATCAAATTCAAGGCCAGGTGACAGGTTTTTGGTGGAACACGCTGTTTGCACCCAAACAGGTTCTTGAGACAGAGGCAGGTGCAAAAAAAGATAAGTTTTGTGTTCACGCATGGACGGTGGATTAAAACCCGGTTCCTGGCACCTCCAAACACAGCCAGTCACGAGGACACTGTGGAGAGGAGCAGTTTTAAAAAAGAAATAGCTGCTCAAATACAGCCCAGGGCTGATAAGTTTTAGTCAGGTTGGATAAAACTTCGTTTTAGGCCCATTCTGCAGGAAGCAATGGGAGTCAGCTTCAGCAGGCAGCTGGGGTTCGCAGAGACACCCGTGAAGCTGCTGGCTTGGACTCCCTTGCCTTGGGAATCCTCACCCGGGACCCAGGGGACAAGGTCATGGAGACCGAGCTCCTTGTGGATGTCCCCTAAGGCTGGTGGTAGCAGCTGCACCGGTACACACTGGTCCTACCAGTCCGCTGTGACATTTAGAGTGTGCTTCACTCCCTGGTACCTGAAATAAGACCCATCCCGTGAAATCAGCATACTCTGGTCTTAGCTGTAGTTAGCTTCTAAGTGACCTTGAAGACACTCAGATGCCACAGATTTGGGGATGGGCCAGACGGGCAAAGGAAACTGGTGGCCACATGGAGCTTCCAATAGGAATTAATCAACTGCAGCACTATGGGTCACTTGCTAGGTGTGTTCAGGTCACCACCATCCCTACCACTGCTAGGACAGGGTCCCCGTCCCCTGAGAAACCACCTCACTTCCAGGAGGATGCAGTTCAAAAAGGATGTGCATTTTTCACTGGATACGACAGGTTTTCCTTTTCACCCACGAAAGCCTCTCAGAGTGAAACCGGAGCGGTGACAAGTTGCTGTGGGCAAACCAGGGCATTTTTCTGGTCCCATTTGCCACCTTGCAGCCAAAGACAAGTGAACATGTCCCAGAGTGCCCATTCAGCCTCCAAACCCTGCCCTGGGAGCCCTGTGGCCATCCCAGCCCTCTGCAAGGTCTCCCTCAGGCAGCTCCTGGCCTGGCAGCTGCCTTGAAGGACCCAGAAAACTCTTTTAATGGGCACTTTTGGTACCTTCTTGCTGTGCCCCAAGAAGCTGTCAGAGGGGTGAGCAGCTCTGGGCTTTCCATGTGTTTACTGAGCCTCATTCACTGCCCAGGAATCTGCACCTTGCAGCCCAGGGGCAGATCCAGGAGCAGATCTAGGAGCAGATCCAGGAGCCAGAAGTAAGGACAGCAGAGCACCGGGGTACACAGAATACATTTACATGTTTAGCAGACTGAGTACACAAAATAAATAATTCTGTACACTCTCATCGTAACATTACAAACTAATGACAAGGGCTCGGAGCTCATCCGACGAGATGGTCTGTGGTGCAAAGGCAGGACGCAGAAGGCAAGTCACAGAACTGGATGCTTCTCAAAACAGCCCCGTTGGGAGACTAACGAGACGTGACTGGAGTCGATTCCAACCCGTCCCAACCCGGCACAGGAAACTTGGCCACCAAACAGTACAGCGAGTGCCAGAAGAGCTCCGGTCCCTGGAGCTTCCCGGGAGGTGTCTTTCCGCAGGGAAAGGCGACAGGAAGACTCGCAGCATCTGGGAGTCCAGGCAGGAGCTGCTCGTTCCTAAGGCACCACGCCGTGCCCGCGGGTCTCCTCCACCCTCAGCAGACACACACAGTGCAATGAGGTTTGCAGCAGCAGCAGCAGCGAGGAGCTCGCCCATCACCCAGGAGGGATCTACAGCACTACCACGCAGGGGAGGGCAGTGGGAGAAGGAAAAGCCACCACCAGGCAGGCAGAGCTCCCTCCACCCCAGGGACACCAAGGGTAGAAGGTACCGAGCTCCACGATGCCGTTGCCACAGCAGATCCATGCTGCTTCACATTTATTTTTTTTTGGCAAATTGACTGCCCATGAAAGCACAGCCAACAAGCAGGCACCTGCCCCCAGAGCACCCAGAGCTGTGCTCTGAATCCAGGCTGAAAGAGGAGACCGAGTGGTCAAAAAAGCACCAAAAAAACTCCCGCGAGTGAGGCAGGCAACCTGGGGCTGCGCATCCGGCACTGAGCAGTACAGGCACTTTGTGAGAGTTTCCAAGATGAAGTTGAGCTGGTGAGAGGCTGGGACACAACCACCCTCCGAGCTGGTGAGAGGCTGGGACACAACCATCCTCCCTGCAAATCCCAGGGCACATCTGGAACACGCTGCTGCCAATGAACAGATTGTGACTCCTTCGGAGTGTGCGATTCCCCCCCAAGCCAATCTCTGTGCTGCTTTGAATCGTTTTGGAAACTAAATCAAGTCAGACCATTGATATTTTCATTTACCCCACCTAAAACCCTCCAAATCTTTAGTGTTGTCACTTAAAATAGGAACCTGGCCCCACGCAGCCGAACGAGATACCTGCAACAGGCAAGCAGCAGCTGTCCTGTGTGGTATAAGGTCATCTAGAGCTGAGCCTGAGCTGCAGGGTCCTCAAATGGAGCCCTGTCCCACCTGCAAGGCTCTGGACAGATGCTTTCACCTCACTCCAGGACCCTCCATGGCTCCTGCAGAGCCCAATCCAGAGCTGCTGCCCAGGAGCCAAGGTAAATATTCCCACACCAGGTCGTGATTGACTTTCACTCTACTCGTACTTCATCCAGACACCCGAGTAGGAAACAGGACTGAGAAACAGAGCAGGGTATAAGCATGTGAATTACCAGAGCAGAAAACACCTCATCAAAAAGAAGAAAACACCCAAATTCCAAAGAAATTAAGAGTTTGAGGATTTACCATTTCCAAAACAAATATGTGAGGCAGGCCCTACACTGTGGCTGGTTTCCACATCACCATCAAAGCCAGCAGGTCAGAGCCCCTTTCTCTGGGCTCACTCTCCTCACGAGGTTATAAAGTTGTATCTCATGGACATGTCCAAGAACAACACAGTCCAGGAACTGGCAGGAGCCTCTGTCCACTGTCACCAGCTTGGTGTGGAACAGCAGAGACTTCTTCTGGAGTGAAGGAAGCAGGGGTTCTACCACCACCGGGTTGACATGTTGGTTTTTAGAAGCTTGACAAGGGCAAGAAGTCAATCAGACATGGACAAGTAATTGCTGCTTCAGCAAAATGCACAGAAAACATACATTACATACTCAAAATTCTGGATGCAAGTCTGCAGACCACCTGATGTTATTTCTGGAAGACTTTTTCACATTCATTTCCAACAACTCTCCAGGAAAAAGAAAGTAAAACCACAGAATCAACAGGCCACGTTCTTTGAAGCCTTAACTCTCTCCCCCAAGAGAGCAGCCAGATTCCCGGGACAGGCCGATGGGAATGTTTTACACAGTGCTGCTAAGTTCCAAAAGACAATCAACCATGATTCCCTTTACTCCTTCAAACTGCATTTCCCCCAAACAGAATATGCCAGGAAGCAACACCCTGAGCTGCTCCATGGAAGAAAGTCCCAAACCTACTGATTGCAGCCTCAGCATCTTTAGGCTTTGCTTTCTCCTAGCGTCCCCCAGGATGTCTGCCCAAGGCAGGGTGCTGTGAGCATCTCCTGGAGACCACATACGTCTTTCCCCAGTGTTCAGCATCCCTTCCAGCGGGTGCACGTGGCCTCCTGCTCATCCCTGCATGGGCTAAAATCCTCTGGGATCACTAGAGGAGAATACAGTGCCAGGCCGAGAAGCTTGCAGGACAGGTAGGACCACAGGTGTGGTCCAGGAGCATCACTTAGCATATCAAACCAACAGAGATGCTGCTTTGGAGGAGCATCTCACCCAGGAACAGGAGAGATCTGTACTTGGACAAGGACACACTGCAACGTGCCACTAGGTGTCATTCCAGCTTCATTTTCATTGCAGGAACAAAAGTGGGGAAAACGGAAGCACTCTGAGATGTGCAGCCCAGCTAACAGAAAGACTACAGCTCAGCAAGGGCCTGGAACAGGCATTTGTTACCTGCACTCTCCCCATTAATCCAGTACAAGAGGAGGTCTTCCAAAAAAATCCCACAAGCCAAAGGAAGAACCACCATTAAGAGCCAAAGAAGGAGGAGAGCAGACAAAAAATTTCAGAGATTTTAGCTCCTAAAATCCCCAAACAAGGCACTCCTGGAAAGTGTAAACTCCTGAGACTTACGACAAACAGAGCACTGGGATGCTCCTGTGGAATATGTATGAAGCCAGATGATTGAGATAATTCACAGTGAAGAGCTTCTCAGAGGACAGATTGAAGGCACCTGAACTACAGCTCAGAATTACAGCACTTCAGACCCAGAAGATGTGCCCCAACTGCAAGAAGAAAAGCACCAAGGAATTGTTCTGAAGCTGAGCTTGCGACATAGCATTTGGACCATCACAGTTTTCCAGGCAGAGTGAAACCAGGGAGATCACAGAGGACTCCAAGGGACACCTGGATGGAGCTCTGCCAGTTTCCCCTCTGCCCACACAGGTTAGTGTCAGAGTGTAAGAGTTCCTACAAATACCGACTGTAGACAAAGGACTGAGCCGAGAGTTTTATAATGATGGAAGGAAAGCTCAAATATTTTCCCCATGTTTACATAGATTTTTTCCATGCAAACAAGAAAATGTTGCATTTGTAAAGCAAATCAGAGTTTTTGTAGAAAAGCCAAAGCCCTTTAGGGGATGGACTTGGTCCTCCCTGGTACCATTCCCTAGCAGCAGGATGCTTAGGGACCACAAACATCTCTATACCCTAGAGGGGGCTGCAGGTTGCACCTACCCACTATTGTTGGAGGATCCAGGATATGTGGAGGATCGTCCCTGCTGCCAGTTCACCTCACAGTCATGGAGCATCATCACAGAAAACTGACACTGTCCAGAGCCTAAATAGCAACATCTCCCTTCCCAAAACATGTCCTCCCCAAAATGGCATCGCTCTGAACTTTTTCTGCTGAAAAACCTATTGCTGAAAACAGGAATGAAGCTAAAATTGTTACAGATGAGAAGATTATTCTTCTGCTTTGTGAAGGTGGAGAAACAAGCCTGGTCAGATTGGAGCTCATGTCCTGACCTCCTCTCCACCTTCACTCATCCTCCATGAGGCAGGGCATCAAGGAACAGCGTGGGTAGGCATCTGTACAACATCTGTGCATTCTGCTGGTCTGCTGGTTGGAGGGAAGGGTCTCAGCTTCTACAGGTCTTGGCTCAGTTCATCAGTTTGATCTCCTCACACAGGCAAAATACCTATTTTAAGGATAAATGTGCAAGATAATCTGGGGAGGGCTACGAAAGCACCCAGGAGGGAGAAGAGACCACAGTGCCTGGGTGTGATGCTCCAAACATGTCAAAGACTCCTACAGATGACAGCTCAAACCTGGAGAGTCTCTGAGAGCATCCTGCCATCCCTTGATGTACAGGGTAAGAACCATTTTCCAGTGAATACTTGTCAAGGAGTGGTTGCTGCTTCTGGGTATCTGTTTGCAGTAATATGAGGGGCACTGAATCGTTTATGAAGCTAAATGTGGCCAGCAGCCTGTTCTGTCAGAAATCAGACATCACCTCTGGTGCATAGTTCATGGTAACAAACCAGAGAAAACTACAGGATAAGGTAACAGAAGCCAAAGAAACTTTTTGTTCTGCAAGCCACAGAGTTGAAAAAGAGCAATTTTTTGTATTTCTTCAGTATCTGCTAATGGTGACGGAAGAAAGACCGTGTGTGATACAGCAGGATGGCCACTTACAGAAAGGGTAGCCTGCAAAGGATGCTGAGTTTTCAAAATAATATGCAAAACCATGTGAAGGATTTAGAATTCAGCCCTGCTACCCATCCTGGCTGTCCTCAGTCTCCCTCTGGTGTATTCCTGGGCACACCAGGCTGTGCTCCCAGTGGTTACGGCCCATCCCAGCTTTCAGGCTGGAAGGACATCCCTAGAAATTGCCCTTTTATTTTTCCTTCACACAGAAAACTCAAGTCTTCTCCCACTGAAGTTGTGCTGCTTTGCTGTTTGCTGACCAAGAGGAGCTGTGGCCAGTAGAGTTAGAGCTTCCTGGAGATGTGACTGGCCACTTAACACCTTGCTGACACTAAGACAGACCAGTACAGACACCAACCCTAGATGGAAGGCCAAGCTCACCAGCCCTTTCAGCTTGCACAGCCTCCATCTCCAGCCCAGAGCTAGGCAAACACTCCCCCAGTGCACAGCATGACACAAACCATGTGGCTTTCTATGAAAGACTTCAAAAACCAGCATTCTCCTTCAACTGCAGGTCTTGTCTCTGCTACTAGAAGAGGCTGAATCCACGCTGAGACTGTGACAGCAGCCCAGCTCTGCTGCTCTGACTAGTTGGGATCTCAGCAGGCTTGCACGAAGCTCAGCACTGCAGCACCCACTTCCCCTGAGAGGTTCTTCACAAGAGGCACGAGGAAACCCGAAAGGCAGCGTATTCCGGCTGGATTACCAGGTGGGATGGAACCCTGCACAAACTGTGCTGGTGGGAGGTGTCCCTGCCCATGGCAGGGGGGCTGGAACTGGATGGTCTTTAAGGGCTCCAACCCAAGCAATACTATGCTTTTATGATTTAAGTCACACTTAACAGCTCTGAGGTGTTTGTGCAGGGAATTATCACTGCTGACACTCCAGGGTGGGACCTCCATTACTCAAGCCCCTACTCTGACATTATGGAGCTATCTGAGGCCATCCCAACAGGTCCCACCACCACTTTGCTGTCCCAGAGCAGGGATGGCAGTACCAGGGCAGATCAGGCACACAAAGCAGGGGAGGCCCAGAAAATCAGCAGACAGGGAGAAATACCTGGAACCACCCAAGTTTGGGTAGGGTGACACATTTGGCAATGCTAGTCTGAAGGGTGCAAGATGTCTAACAGGTCACAGACATGGTAAGGCCACGCCATGGCAAGAAAACAAACCCTGCTTGGTAGGCACCGGTCTTGCTGCAAATAAGGGAAGGATAATTCAAGTGGGACCGCAAGGACCTTCCAAAAAACCCCACCTTGCCAAAAACACCTCTCTGCAGACCACGAGGTTTCTGCAGGACGACGATCCTCTGCCCAGCCCCGCACCAGGAGCACCCACCCGCTCCAGGTCGGAGGCTTGGCTGCCGATGCTCACGACAGCTCTGGCACAGCTCGAGCTCAGCCCCGACGTCACCAGGTGGCTGGTGGCCCCCGAGGGAAACCTGGCAGCTCCCCGGTCGTCACAGAGAGCTGCTGCCCGGCAGCTCTCCAGCGAGGAGCTGGTGGGCAGCTCGGGGGTGAGTCACAGCCACCCTGCTTCTGACTGCGTGTGACTCACAGCGGCTCCGCTGCCGAGGCACCGCCGGCTCTGACTAAACCAGCTCTGTGTGCATCTTCAGTTCCAAACACACGCCCACACACGTATGAGTGCACACGTACGTGCACCGACACACACGTACAGGGATTTCTGGGGTGGGTTCTTCTTCTTCAGATGCAGGTGAGAGGAACGCAACACTCCAGAATTAATAAATAACTATGAACAACCAAGCTCCCGGGCTGCAGAAAGCGCTCCTCTCCCCACGCAGCTCCTTGAATTTGCAGATTGCTTGGCCACGAGGGCTCCCCCGTTTCCTGCATGAGGCCCCCACGGGCACAGCTTGGCAGGGTGGGACGGCCACCATGAGATTCCCTTTCCTCTGCACAGGGGGAGGGAGAGAGGGAGGGAGGGAGAGAGGGAGGAACGCGGACGTTCCTCACCGAGCGGCGAAGGGCTCCGCGCGCCTGCGCCGCAGGGAGTCGTCCGTCTGGGAAGACCCCTGGGAAGTCGGCCGGCAGGTCCCGGCGCTCAGCCGGTGTACTGCTGCTGGTAGCGCAGGTTCAGCTCCCGCAGCTCCCGCTCCCGGACCCGCCGCGCCTTGTTGGACCTTTGGACCTGGTGGAGCGGCTGGAGCGCGTGGACTGCGCCGACTTGGTGCTCTGGCAGCGGGAAGAGGCCCTCTTGAGGAGGTTCTGTGAGATGGAGCGGTGGAGGTTCTTCATGGAGGAAGAGGCTGCCATGCTGACCACCCACGGGTGCTTTAGGGCCTGGAGGGCTGTCATCCTGTCGCCGGGGTCCACAGTGAGCAGACGGTCGATGAAGTCCTTGGCCAGGTTGGACACGCTGGGCCAGGGCTGAAATACAAAAGAGATGAGTGGAATGAAACGTCCCACCACAGCTTTGCTGATTAATTCATTCCTCCTAACCCCAAAAGGTGCTTCGGGGCTTCTTCCACTCCCTCTTTCATCTGCAAAGCTCCCGAGCTGTCACCAACAGCTTCTGTCCAAGGAGAACGAGACACAATTACTTCAAGAGACTGTCAGGGGGAGAGGCCGAGTTAGTGGTAAGTGTCTGTATGTACATAGGTGCAGTGGGGATCCCTCTGACAGCCGGGCTCAGACACAGCCTGCCCAGCAACCTCACTCTTCCCAGGTCCCTCAAGCCTACAGACACCTACATGTGGAATCATAAAACCATTCAGGTTGGAAAAGACCTCTGAGATCATCGATTCCAACCATAGGCGTGGGCTCACACATACAAGCAGTCTCAGTCAGCTCCAAGGTTCAACCACCTCTCCAGCAGCTGGCTGGGACTTCCCTGGTCCTTCTGGGTGCCAGATCCTCCTGATGGTCCCGTCCTTGTCCTTAGAGACACACACACAGACACACACACAGAGACATACATGAACATTCCCAGCTTCCAGGTCCCTTCACCCCCTTGTCTGGCTCAGTCTTCACCAGCAGTCACACACTTGGTCACACACTTGCATGCTGGTGCTTGCACCACAAACAGACACAGGCTCCCAGACGTACGTCCCACTCCAGGTGCTGGCCCTGAGGCCTTTCACCTCATCTTCTCACATCACCTTGCAAAACCACACCGTTATTACAAAACGAACAGTAGCCACATCCCCACTGCAGACCCTCCTCAGTCCAAGTGCTTTGTATCCCATTAAGTCACCACTGCTCAAAAGTGACCCACGGTCCTCACAGAGGAACGTGACACCAGATGCCTGGTTCTCTTCTGACCAAGGTGCACATCCTCCAAGAGGACCAAGGTTCTCTTCTCTCTCAAGGGGCACATCTAGCGAGCACACACTGCCCTCCACATCAATCCTGAAACCAAACCTAAGGAGATTTTTCTGCCAGGGTACTTGGTCTTGCTCCCACGTGGAAATCTAGGAGATGTTGCTACTGGTCAACCCTGGAACAGCCAACTCAGCCTGGCTGGAAACAACCCATAAAATGTTCTAAATCTACGTAAATGTTAGATACAAGAAATTTTCATGAATGCTCATCAAGAAAAACAGGAAGGACATTTTTGACAAAATACTGGTCTTAAAAGAAACAATCCCAAAATAATTAATTACCCCTATAATAAATTCCTCCTAGATCCCCCCAGTACACAGAAGTAGAGACATAACTACTTACGAGGCAAACACCTGGAGCCATGCATGCTGGACTGTTTTAATTTCTGACAAAATACTGTCAGAATTGGGAGGATTTCTTTACCATAAGGTAAAAGTAGGGCTGAGGACAAAGCCAGGAAGAAAACCATGGCAAAATCCACAGCACAAGTGGAGGAAGGAGGCAGTTGTGTAAAAATTGTTACATGGATGCAGGCAAGAGCGGGTTTTGGCAGTCACTGGGGGCTGTGTGGGTCTCACCCCTCCTGAGACAATACACATTGAATTTTTGCAGTATGTGGAAACCACGTTCCAAGAGACATTAAAAAAATCCTGAGCAGATTCATAGAATCACAGAAAACCTGCATGGTGGGGTTGGAAGAGACCTCTGGAGATCACCTCCTCCAACCCCCCTGCTCCAGCAGGTCACCCACAGCAGGGTGCCCAGGATCACATCCAGGCAGGTTTGGAATCTCTCCAGAGAAGGAGACTCCACAACCTCTCTGGGCAGCCTGCTCCAGGCTCGGGCACCCTCCCAGCAGAGAAGTTTTTCCCCAGCAGGGAAGTTTTTCCCCAACACTGAGATGGAACTTCTTGTGTTCCAGTTTGTGTCCCTTGCCCCTTGTCCTGTTGCTGGGCACCACTGACAAGAGTCTGGCTCCAGCCTTTTGACCCCCACTTTTTAGCTCTTGATCAGCACTTATCAGATCCCCTCTCAGGCTTTTCCCCTCCAGTTTGAACAGCCCCAGGGCTCTCAGCCTTTCCTGGTACAGAGATGCTCCAGGCCCCTCAGCAGCTTTGTAGCTTCCACTGGACTCTCCCCAGCAGTTCCTTGTCTCTCTGGAACTGGGGAGCCCAGCACTGGACCCAACCACCCCGGCCTCACTAGCACAGAGCAGAGGGGGGAGAAGAACCTCCCTTGACCTCCTGGCCCTACTCATCTTCATGCACCCAAGACACCACTGGCCTTCTTGGCCACAAGGACCCATTGCTGGCTCATGGTGAACGTGTTGTCTGCAAATTCATGCAAAGTGAAGACTTTGATACAATAATTAAGGCCAGGTACAAACACAGACATGTAACTGAGTGGAACCAGCACGTGTAGTTAAAACAAAAGGCTGCTGTTCTGCACCTTTCATTTCTCTTTGTTTGGTGAGGAAGCAAAGAACCCAGCCACTTTAAACCTCAGGGTCGACCAGCAGGTAAACAGTCAGATACAATGTACTTGCCTTGTGCCAAAGGCCTAAAAAAGCTACGTCCTAATTTGTTGAGACCTGCAACTTATTTCTACCAAAAGCAATTTCTCTCAAAGCCTCAAAGGCAGCAGCCAGGGAGCAAAGCCCCAGGAGAATTTCAGGGCAAAAGGCAGGATCCTCCAAGAGTTACAACACTGCTCCTGGCCCATGGAGGGTCAGTGGCATGGCCAGGAGAGAGGAACTCAAGCTCCAGCTAAGAACTGTTCTCTAGGGTACAGAAAGTCTTATTTTATAAGCGATGGCTAAAGCAGTCAGGCTTATTCGGCTGAGCTGAAGTGGGATATATAGAGAGAAGAGAGTGCAAATGATATGAACTACTTCATACAAAGAAAATACTGGTCCTTCAGTAAAAAACTATAAATGATCCTGAATGTATTCAGGGTAGAAATGGATAAAGCTGGAGAGCTCAGGTAGGAAGCACGGCCTGCTCCTGTGGATCAGACACCACTTTGAAACCACATCCAAAATCGACACCCTTCCATGTTGCCAGAACAAAATCAGTTAACAAATAAAACTGTCAAAATTCAAGCTTTTCTACCTGCTGCTTTCAAATATAATTAGTCATGACCTGCCTTAAATCACTTTTTCTTAGCTGATGAAATGCATCTTGACAACGAAAGGTAAGAAAAAACCCAGGTGCTTGTTAGAATAGAACAGGGACAATCCACGATCAGAGACCCATTAAAGTGCTATTTTATAAAAATGATAAATAAAATAGCAAAATACCTTTTCAAAGGTACCAAAAAACCACAGTAAAGGTTATGTGTGCACACACCATCCTGGCTTGCAGAACTATGAAGCCTCTGAAGAGCTCACCCTGTATAACACTAGAAGCAAAGAGCCAAAACTCTGCCATGATGGGACATAATTCACATTCCAAGCCTACAGATTTCCCAACAGACTTCTCAATAAAGTCCTTCCTTTGTTAAAGAGCAGCAAAGGACATTGACCTGCAGGGTTTTGCCTTTACTGGCATCATCTCAGAGGACAGCAGGGTCAACTTCTATGTCCACTGGTTAGTCAACACCTCACCTTCCTGTTACACTCCAGATCTACAGCTCTAGGTGACCTTTGGGTTCTCCCTTCCATAGATGGGCAGAGCCAAATGAAGCCCAGCAACACGGAGTTTTGCCTCCACTTTTACCTAAACTTCTAAAGAATGATTTTCTGTGGGTTTCTTTTTCAGATACATTGAAGTTAGCAGCTCCTTGCACAGCTAAAAATCAGAACTCCATCATTACCTGCCTACACCCCACTAACCTCCAACCACTTCTTTCCTTCTCCTCCTAGCAGACAGCTCACCCCATTCTACTTCCTTCACAGAGGACTCGTTTGCCACTCTCCAAATAATACTAATGAGATGTCTCAGCTAACAGTATGTCTACCCAATTAACCGATTTAATCTCAGTGATACTGAACACTGGTGACAATTCCACCCCCTTTTGCAATAATAACATTTTAGGAACTCTTTACTACCATCTTTGCTACTGTCACCAGCAACTGAGATGACTTACATACCTTGAAACAGCTTTTGTCCCACTCAAATGGAGAAATTTGCATTCACAAGACTCCAACCTTATGTTTTTTCCTGGGGAATTTTTTTCCTGAGGAAATCTTCCTGCCTTACAGCAGCCTTCCAGTGCTTCAATGGGGCCTACAGGGAAGCTGGAGAGGGAACCTTCATCAGGGATCGTAGGGATAGAACATGGGGTAAGGGGTTCAAACTGAACAAGGTAAGATTTAGATTAGATGTAAAGATTGATTTCTTCACTGTGAGGGTGGTGAGATGCTGACACAGGTTGTCCACATGTGGATGCTCCATCCCTGTCACTGTTCAAGGCCAGGTTGGCTGGGGCTCTGAGCAACCTGGTCTGGTAGGCAGTGGCCCTGACCATGGCAGGGAGGGTTGAACTTGATGATCTTTAATATCCCTTCCAACCAAACCATTCTGTGATTCCATGATCTAAAATCTTTTCTGAACACTGTCCCTCATAGAGACACAGTCACGCCAGGACTCTTCTTTACCTAAATCCAAAGAGCTGCAAGAGATGCACTCTAACGAAAAAATGCTTCTGGACTTACACAACCATAGTTTTCTTGGAAATACATCTTCAGGATGATGCAGGAGAGCATAATTTCCTCTTGCAGAAGTCTGTAGCTGCACAGATCTGGAACCTGCAGCAACCTGAGAGCTACTCTGCCCTTCAGATGCACTCAAACTTCAGTCAACCGACAGCTGCCCAACACAGAGCAGGAGACTCCAGTGAATGAAATGAGCCTCTAAACACCAAGAATAACAATAACTTCAATTATTTCTAGTCATATTAAAAGATGGCAGATGTGGAAATTTAAAATTTGCAGAAATCCACAAAGAACATGTCAGTCTGAAGACCTGGAAGCTGTGAATACACCACCAGCCTAAGCCTTGAGAGACCTGTGCACTGCACCAGTCCAGCTTAATGAAGCATAAAGA